GTTGCAATATTAATCCCCAAGGTGATTAGGAGGTGGGGTGTTTTACAAGGTTATTAGATTATCAGGGCAGAACCCTCTACAGGGATTAGTGCCCTCATCAAAAAGGCCCAAAGGAGCACATTTACCTTTTCTCCTAGCTGAAAGCACAGTAAGAAGTCAGCAGTGTGCAACTCAGGAGAATCTGTGACCATGCTGGCACTCTGATTTGGACTTCTCAGCCTCCAGAACTGTGAGAAATGACTGTTGTTTAAAAGCCACTCAGTCTATGATATTTTCTTACAGCAATCAAATGAAATAAAACATACTCCTTCTCAACTCCCAAATGCTCCTTTAAGATGATTATTGTTTTGTTTGTGTTTTAGAAACAGGATATTGCTTGGTTGCTCAGGCTGAAGTACAGTGGCATAATCACAGCTCACCATAACCCCAAACTCCTGGGGTCAAGTGATCCACCTGCCTCAGGCTTCCTGAGTAGCTGGGACTACAGGAATGCACAAGCATACCTGGCTAATTTTTTATTTTTGTTTTGTTAGAGAAAGGGTGTCACTATGTAGCCCAGGTTTAAAATGATCATTGTTAATTGTATAATGCTCCTAGTCCCTTCTCAAGATGCCAATGTTGTTAAACTGGTTGATTCCCTCACAGGACAGTGCATTTTATTACTTAGACCAAATTCCATCTATCCCAACTGCTGCCTGTCTTAAAAATGTATTCTTCCTCTGTAAGTTACACTTTATTTCTAATTATGGCCTTCAATTTTTTTTTATTTGAAGAGGCTCTTGTTGAAACCTTTCTATATTTGTAATGACCTATTTCCTGCTCATCAGCCACAGGTCAACTAACCTGGATGCATATTTCTTTTGCTACATTTCCTAATGACCACCTACTAACCCATCTATCTCATCATATCGATTCACTAATTCCTCCCCCTAAAACAAAGCACTGTACAGAAAACAAAAAATATAGCCTTCACATATATTGCTCCTGTGAATCAAAAGGCAAAATCTTTGCTTTGGTCTGTACAGGAGAGATCTCTGGGACAGCTTCCAATGTGTCAGGGGGCAGAGCAAAGCTTTCGGTGGCTGACAATGGACACTAGGGAAACACAATACAAGTCAGATGCAGAACTCCTCCAACAGGTGACTTTGGCTCAGGGGCTCCCCACCAACCTGGCAGAACATTTCTTTGAACTGTACCATAGTCTGAGGCTCTCTCTATTCAATCCTTCCATCCTTCTATCCTTCCTCAGGTATCAGATCTGCATTGTGGTCTGAAGAATTCCTACCTTCCCCTGCTCCTTTGCCCATTATATCTTTTGCAAGTCTAATCCTATCTACTTCTCAGGAGACCCTAATTAATGATTTGACACCCTTTCAACATACACACAATCCCTGCACTACCAAAAAAAAAAAAAAAAAAATCCTGAAGATCACTTTCTAGAGCCATCTAGAAGTAATCAGTCCTGTGACATTCTGCTTCCACTTATTCCCTCCATTTGGCTCTATTCTTCACTTCCAGCAACAGACACAGGGACCTAGAGTACACAATGGAAAATGTGCTATATTCCTACTGACACCCCGGCTACCTCTCATAGCTGACAATAGGAATCTATGAACTAGATGTACATATAAAACTGTGGATAGATCTTAAAATAGCACGGAATGAAAAAGAATCAATAAAATTTATAGCATGATACCACTTACAAAAATTAAAAATAGACACACAAATAACACTGCCTGTTTTTCAAAGATAAATACATAACTAAAAGTATGTAGGAAGCATTAAATATGGTTGGGATAAGGGTGGGGCTGGATAAAAAAAAACTGAGAAAAAATAAGAGAAGACTCTTGTATAGACTAGTGATGATGATGTACTTCGACCTGAGAAATATAATCAACGTTATAAGCCTAAGGTCTAAAGGACAAAAAAGAAAAGAGGAAGAGAGGAAAGACTTCTCCAGCAAAGAACTGGTGAGCTCTCTAAGGAATTAAGACTACCATCCTGCTTAAATTCACTATCCCCAATCTGCTGCCTTACAGCTAAATACAAATATATCTAAAACAGAGGGAATGCCTTCTTAAAATTCCATTCTGGCTGCCTTTTAAGAAAAGCCTGTCTATTAATTATATATAAACAAATCATGAACAAAGATTATTATGTTTTTTAGATAGACCCACTAGAAATAGCATTCTGTTGGTTTAATTAAAACTTTACTTCAGAACAACCCCTAACTTTTAATTTGATCTTAATATATATTCATTGCTAGGCATCAATAACAACAGGACCTTTATTGATGACTTTATAAGCACCATATAATTATTTCTTCCAGTGCCAAAGCAAACCCTAAGTAGTGCTGCATTTGTGATTTTTATGTTGTATCAAATTTAAATGTGAAACAGTAAATTTTTACAGATAAAATCATTAGCTGAAAAGTACTCATTTACATAAGGATCAAATGTCTACACAAATACATACATCGAATTAGCATTTAAAACCTCCAGACTTGGTTCTCTGGAAGTAAAGGCACTATTACAAAGGAGAATTGAAATTAGATGTCTCCACAGTTCTCTACCAATAAGAATAGGACTGTTTTGAAAACCAAATTTAACAATCTATTTAAAAGGTTCTAATTAACAAATAATTATGTAATTCAAGATTTTCTTATTTGGGTCTGTAAAGTCACCTCTCTATTTTGTTAAAATCAGTGATTCTTTATTTCAGGATGTGATACAGTAAATTTACTATAATTAGTGGTAACAACTCTTTCCAATTGTTTTCAGATTCAAGATGCCTTTACCCATAAATAAACATTTAAATTAATATGGTTTGGCCTTTGTCTAGGAGTATGATTAGAGATGAATGAAATGAAATCTTATTTCAATTTGATGATTACTTAATTTGCTTGACTCTTTAGCAGTTTCAATTTCCAACCTTTTTTGTTCAGACATGAAACTGTATAATAAAGCTGCTTTAAAGTGAGAAAAGGAGATTAACAAAAATGATCACTCTTTTTGTATTGCTTCTATGGCTTTTAACTGTAAGCATCTTTTGCTTCAAATAACATTTCAAATATGTGAACAACAGGTGATTCTTTTAAGATTTACCCTGTGGAAAAAGGCTTTATTTTGGCAAGTCACCAATGGTTATTAAGTCTACAACTATGCAAGAACTCAGACTCAACTGCTGACCGGCCAGATCCTTGAGCTTCACCTAGAATAATAACAATCTTAAAACTATTTGTTTATATCATGTACAGAAAACTGTTAGCTCTCTCACAGTCTTCTACTGCTCAGGAAAATCCCAACAGATTTCTAAAATTGTACTTTGATAATGTCTATACTTTCATCCAAGAGCTAGACCCCCCCAAAATAAGAAACTTAGTGTAGATAACTCACTCAACTGGTATATGATCAAATTTCTATGTCTAAAAGTATAGAAATCTCCACTATTATGTTCTAATTAAGTCTTTATATTATTCTATGAAGAAAATTTCCCCAAAGACAAGTCACCTTGTTCAACTACATTTTCAGAGAAGATAATAATAAAAGTAAAAACTATGAATCTGACTTTTCTGGCATTAGTTTGAAAATCATAAGCCACAAATATTTTAAATAGCATATTTCTAATCATCTATTAATGACAGAAACAATTTTCTGTGAAATAAGAACGTGGAGGGAAAACCAATTTTTCTATATATTTATGTATCTTTACAAACGGTCTATATTACAGATAAAGTTAATTGAATAAAAACAAATATGCTGAAATTTTTGACAATTGTTAAATGAAAATATTTCTAAAATCTTAACTTTTTTTCTTGGGAAAGCAGTTTAAAACTGTAGTCTATTTAATGAGGTGGCCATCTGGTGACAGAAAAGAGCACTACAGACAATATTTTGCATTAACTGAACATCACAACTATTCTATACAAACCGACTGAACCACATAAAAGAGAGCAATACTGTCCAAAAAAAACCGTAATGCAAGTTACACATGCAATTTAAAATTCTTCTAACAGCCGCATTTTCAAAATAGAAACAATAATTTTAACAATTTTTTTTATTTAACCCAATGTATCAAAAATAGTATTTCAACATGTAATCAATGTGAAGTTTAATAACGAAAGAGTTTCCTTTTTTCATACTAAGCATTCAAATTTCAATGCGTACCTTACAGCACAGGTCAATTCGGACTAGCCACATTTCAAGCCATCACAGGCCCCGCGTGTCTGGGTAGCGGCAAGCACTCAACTGGACTGCGCAGATCTAGAGAACGACACGAGACCTGCGGTTGCTCTGGTTTGCCTTTTACTAAGTTCATTTCTCAGTCTCTCTGCCCACTCTGAAAAGTCTGCCCTGTCCCTACTTTTAATTCTACTTTATTTTGTAAATAACCGTTGCCTCCTGAACATTTTGGAATGCTTAAAAGGCACTCAAAAGACTGTCCGAGAACGCCTCGAAGACCCTCGGAAGGTCCCTCTCTTCTCCGGACCGCACTGGGCGTTAGTTTGCCCGCGCGGTCCTTCCACTCGGCTTGCCGGGCGCACAGCGGCTTCTGGCTGCGGTCAGCTACCTTCCCCGGAGGCGGTGGTCGCTGGCCGCGGGAAGGATGCCGCGCTAGGGGTCGGGGCTCGTCCTGGCTGTCCTGCCGCCTTGTGACGTCACAGCGCCATGCCCTCGGGGTTCAGGGCCAGAGAGGCTCCGGGCTTCCAGGACCCGAGAGCCAAAGATATTCAATGGGAGAGAGTGGAACTGGAGGAGGCAATGAATAGATCCCCGCCATCTAGCCAATAACGCGTTGCTTTCCGTCACGTTCCGTGAACCGGCGAAGGCAACTGAAAAGCTGAGCTCACGTACAGAGAAGCCCGCGAAGGAGAAGCTCCCGCCGTTTCCCAGGAGCCCCAGCGGGGTCTTCCGGTTGGACCCCTGCCTCTGCTGATTGGTTGGAGGTCGCCACCACGTGATGCAGACCCGGGTCAGCCTCCGCTTTCCCCGCCCCGTTTATCCCCCTCCTCACCCGGAGGTCGCCTGAGGCGGAGAGCAGGTTACCTCGGCAACCGCGCCAGGCAGTCTGTACACACCAGGCCCGGGGCGGGAGAGGGTTTCCTGCCTGCTGCTGCAAGACAGGGATCGGGAAGTCGGAGTGGACTCTGACTTGAATCGGATTGCCCCGGAATCCATCCAGTCTCTGTGATAAGGTGAGAATCCGTCACCTGGCGGCCTTCGGTCGTACATCACCTGTAAGCAGAGCCCCGGGAGTCTTTCGTCTCCTCTTTTTCCTTCCAAGCCATACCAAGAAGACGCCAATGAAGCAAAGTCTAGGGAACCCCATAATGGTGCAATGAAGATGGTAATGATGAAAGACAGTGAGGTGGCTTTATTGAGGCAGTCAGGGTACTAGAACAAAGCTCAAGAGAAAGAAAGGGAGGGTGGCCTACAGCCAGCTATGCATCCTTTACTGCACCGGCTAAGGTTCTAGGCTGGGAGAGCCAAGTGCTCCCTGACCAAACCTGACACTGCTCATCTAGAGAGTGAAGTGGGGTTATTTGGACCATCAGTGATAACTGATGGATTCTGATCCTTTTATACCCAAGCGAGGAAATAATTTGACCCATACAGGACTTCTACTGTGCAGAAAAAAAAGTAGTTTTCTCAGAATGACACCCTACCCAACTCTCATGGCAGACAGAAACATTATCCTTTGTACTCTGATTGTCATTGTACCTCTGGTCATGGAGAACAATTATGTCTTTAAATTATACCATATGCCTGTGGCATGACAACCCATTAAACAAAATTTTTTTAACACCTAGCATGTGCCAGGCAATAAACCTGTAACAGGTTCATAGTTTCTGCCCTCAATGAACATGTAACCTAGTAGGGAAGAAAGGCCTGTAAACACTGCATTACAGTGTGACAAGTACTATACATAGAGTATGTGCAAGCCTTAACCAGAGTCACAAGAAAGAGAATGCTTATAACACTACCAGAGAGAATGAAAGTCTTCACAGAGAAGATCCTTGATTTAAATCCTTAGGGAAGTATGGAATATGCCATACAGCCAAAGGAAAAGGACATTTTAGGGAGAGGACGCATGCCATCCGGTTCCAGAGAACAATAGTTGTAGCCTGAACCTCTGTGGAGGTTGTGGTTGATGAGCCTGTGAGGTAGGCAGGAGTCAGAGCATGGAAACCATGAATATCTTCCAAAGGGGTATAGCATGAGCAACTTTACCGTTCAGGAGACTGTCACAGTAATGTAGAGGATGGACTTAAGGGAAGACAGACTACAGGGAGGACATCAGTTAAGGTAAAGTGATGAGGATGTGAACCAAGGCAGAATTGGAGTAAGGAGGAAAAAAATGTAATAAGACATTTAAGAGGTATATGCAGAAGGATTGAATGAACCTAGGGTGATAGAGTCAAAGATTGGTTGAGGATAATAGCTTAACCAATAAAAAGGTGGTAGTGTTATTTCAAGAGAAGGCATACATTGGGAGAAGCAGGCTGGTTGGAAAATATAATGGGTTCAGTTTTGAACACACTGAATTTGGGATGCCTGTGGCACATTCAGATGGAGCTTTTTCATGTGGGCAGTTGGATTTTTTTTTTTTTTTTTTTTTTTTTTTGCACAGAAGAAGATAAGGATTTTTCACCATGAAGAAAACAATTGGTTTGAAAAGCACAAAGTAAGTTTGAAATGACAAGTAGAGAGAAGCCAAGGAGAAAGATGAACCAAAGTAGAAAAAGGAGAGAGTTATCAGCATTGTAAAATGCCATGTCAGGCTCAAGTTGAGAACTGAAACATGTCCACTGTCTTTGGCACTTGGAAGGTTATTGTTGACCTCGGTAAAAAGATGCTGTAGTAGCTTGAGGTGTGTCCTCAGTCCCGATGGCAGTGAATCCAGGACTGAATGTAGGAAGTGACGTGTTGCTAAGGATTATCTAAAAGCTTCACCATAACAGTATCTAAACCCAGCTATTTTTAGAAGAACATGGAGAGACTTTTTTAAGATAGGAAAGACCTCATATTTATATACAAAATAAAAGAGACCCTTGAAAAGGAAATATGGGAATAAATGAAAAAGGAAAATTTGACAGCAATACTCCAGAAAAGACAGATAAGGATGGGATCAATACATAGAAAAAGGGATTTGTTTTGGACAAAAGGAAGAACTCCTACTAAGAGAGGAGTCGGAAGGGAAAGAAATACATCTTTGAGGGGAAGGAAATAAGGAATGTGCATTTGATGGCATCTCTGTTCTCTATGAAAAGGGGGTCAGGATCTCTTTTGAGACAGAGAGAGACCTTGAAAAAAGTGGTAAAAGTTTAGTCGGTAATGTAATGAATCTTGAGTCTCTAGTCCTGCTCTCTTAGGAGAGGAAGTTGAGGAAAATATAAAACATTTGTTGCTAAAGATCTAACCGAAGTTAGAGACCATGCATTTGCAGTAACTTCAACTCCATGCTGGTTAGGTAAAATTTTCCAGTAGCAATACAAAGTGGAAAGATTAATCCAAGATTTGCAGTGTGAAGTGTAAAAGCCATAGAAGTTCCTGATGGCTTCTGGTTTTGTGGAGGAACTAGAGAAGACCTTCAGCCTCTTAAACAGTCCCTAAATTAATCTTTATAATGTAACCTTAATCAAAATCCCAACTGAATTTTTTTAACTAAATACAAAATAATCATAAATTTTATTTGGAAAAATAAACATGGAAGAATATCCAGGAAACTGCCAAAAAAAGAACATGAGATAGGAATTTACAACATAAATCACAGTAATTAAAACAGGTACTGGTGCAGGAATAGACAGAGCTAAGGAAAAACACAGATTAGAAAGTCCAAAATTAGGCCCCAGTGTATGTGATCATTGTTTAACAAAGAGAACGATTTAATTCCTTCTGGAATAGATATCTTGGATAGAGACAAGGTAACCTAGAACACCATTTGGTGAATTTGGAGCTTCGAAGGGAAGCCTTTGTCCTTTGTGTGGGGGCGGGCAGCTAATCTATCCTTTGTTATTCACAGACTTTAATCCAGAATATAAGGGTTTCTCTTCCAATAAGTAGAGGTGCTGCAAAACACTTTTTTAACTTGGTGCACCATTCAAATAAACTTAGAGAGGTAGGACTATGGCCTGCATCTATGAATGGGCCTTTGATGGAGTCTCCAAATTCTTTCAGGTTGAGTTCTTGACTAGCTTCTCTTGCGGCCTCTGCTGTAACATCCTGAGGTTGTCCAAGAATGGGGTAAAGTTGCAATTGCCAATGGGAAGCAGAGAGGGAATGCACAGCACAGCATTTCCTTCAATATAGACCATTCATCTAACCACTGTCACCACTGCCACTACTACTGCCCTACTTCAATCTCCATCCTTTCCCACTTATATTATTACAACTGCCCATTAACTAGTCTCCCTGCTTTTGCTCCAAACCCTGTAATCTACTTTAAACAGAGTACCCAGAGTGATCTTTTTCAATACTTATTACAGTTCATGTTACTCTTCCACTCCAAATCCTCATATAGCTTTTCATCTTACTCATAATAAAATCCAAAATTCTTACAAAGGTCTACAAGATAGCACATGATTTGGCCCTGAAATACCTCTCTGACCTCACATCCTCCCAGTATTTATTTATATCAATGTACTCCAGACACATAATTTTCTTCGCTATTCTGAAAACATGCCAAGTATACGCTTACCACTGCCACCTTTTTTTTTTTTTTCTCCAGATTCCCTCATGGCTCACACTCACACTCCCTTATTTCCTTCATTTCTTTGCCATGATTTCACCTTATCATCTTATAAGGTCCTACTCTTCTCCTTCCTCCCACCCCTGTCATTCTCTGTCTGGGGTTCTGTCTTTGCCTTCAATATGAATATTAACAAATGAATGAATGAACAGAGTCCGGTGTATTAGGATAATTTGCTGACTGTATTTTTCTTTGTGGTGCTAGATTCCCTTCCCTCCCTTCCCTCCTTCTTGACTCACTGTCTTAGTCCATTTCATGCTGCTGTAATAAAATACCTCAAAGTGGGAAATTTAAAAACAACAGAAATTTATTTCTCATTGTTCTGGAGGCTAAGAAGTCCACAATCAAGGCATCAGCATCTGGTGTCTGCTACCAAGATGATGCCTTGAAGTCTGCCTCCTCTGGAGGGAAGGAACAGTATGTACTCACATGGTAAAGTCAGAAGGGCAAAAAAGCAATGAACTTCCTCCATCAAGCCCTTGAAACGAGCAGCTAATGGGCACCTAATGCCATTTGGAAGGGGAGGAACTCCCATGACCAAATTACCTCTTAAGGGCCCACTATTAGTACTATCACATTGACAACACCTGAAGTTGGAAGGGGACACATTCAAACCATAGCACGCAGCATGGTAGGACAATGTCTCCAGTTTACAAAGCATGAGTAGAAATACAGACTTGTGTGCAGTATTCTGGTACATTTCTCAAAGTCCTTTGATTTGGTCCCTTATATATGATACACAACTACCCCTTTCCCAACCACTGCTGCTCTGAGTTTGAAGATTTTTTTAGAATATTTTTGTGAAGCTTCTTTTCCTGGTACCTTGAATTTTGGTCTGTAATACGGTTTCACTGTGTCCCCACCCAAAATCTCGTCTTGAATTGTAATAATCCCCACATGTCAAGGGCAAGACCAGGTGGAGATAATTGAATCATGGGGACAGTTTCCCTCTTACTGTTCTTGTGATAGCGAGTGAATTCTCACAAGATGTGATGGTTCTACAAGGGGCTTCCCCCTTCACTCAGCTCTCATTCTGTCTCCTGCTGCCATGTGAAGACGGACGTATTTGCCTCCCCTTCTGCCATGATTATGTTTCTGAGGCCTCCCCAGCCATGTGAAACTGTGAGTCAATTAAACCTCTTTCCTTTATAAATTACCCAGTCTCTGGCATGCCTTTATTAGCAGTGTGAAAACAGACTCTGGTTTGTGTTGATGAGCTTTTTTCTCAATCTGATGTTGTCTGTGTCATATTTAAAAGACCTTTCTCAATATTTCTGGCAATTATTGCTCTTTTTGTAGCATTGCTGTTTTCTTTTCTTATTTTCCTATTTCTGTAGTCATTCTCATGGGATTTGGGGAGGGCAGATAGGTAAATACGTGGACTCAAATCATCATCTTTTTTTCTTAACATTTTAATGTATGTATATGCCAGCACAGGTACATAATTTTGCATAAATGAATAAAATAAGCATATAAATGCTTTTAAAATAGAAATATAAGTAGAATATCATTAAAGTGTAGCATATATACAGAAGTCACACACATCTTAAGTATCTAATTTTATTTTCAAATTGAACATAACCAGCACCTAGATCAAAAAATACATCAATATGAGCACTCTAGAAGCCCTTCTTTTTTCCTCCTCTTAGTTGCTCTTCCCTAAAAGGTAGCCAGTATCCTAACTTCTAATGCTACAGTTTGTTTAAAAATATTACATAAATTGAGTCATACAGTATTACTCATTGTATGTCTCTTCTTTTGTTCATTTGTTTCTGTGAATCTCACTCATGTTGCAAATAATAATAGTTGTTTCTTTCTCATTTCACTTTTAGGTAGAAACCACAAAGAAATTTGTGGCTATGACCTATATGAAAAAATGTTCAGAGAAGCACTATTGAACCCCCAACTGGAAACACTCCTAATGTGTACCCATAGTAGAAATAATAAATAAATATCTATATATTCATACTAGGCAATTATAAACATGCTTTTTAAAAAGTATAGTTTCTTCTTTTCCATTTTTGCCTAGATCTATCCCCATCCAGCTTTACATTTATACTCTATCCACAGCGGCTTTCACCTGCATCTAAGGCAACTCATGTTAACAACTTTGTATGTATCTTTCTGTATTTTGTATTTTCTCCTGACACTAATCATGCATGCACATTCATTTACATATATATACATGTATACACACATGCCTATGGGGGAGTTGTTACTGTAAAAAGTGATTATACTGTATACCATTTTCTACATCTCACTTTGTCAGGTCATTATATTAAAAGCAGTATTCTTATATTTTTTAGATAGAATATATCAGGAATAATATACTACAAATATTAAAAATTATGAAAGTTGGATTAACTTTTATTGAAGCTACTTGAGTATTAATTGGTTCATATTCTCTAGAATGAAGGAGAAGTTGGATTTTTTTTAAATAAACATGTATTACTATGCCAAGCATGTTGCTAAGCCCTAACGATTCTTCTCTTTGCAGTCTAAGTATACTTAGAGAAGTGTGTTCACTTTTAGACACAGCAGTGTAATACAAAGGACAACCAGAGCCTGTTCAAAGAAACATGAGTATCTAGTGAGAGAACTAACAACTTAAACTGGGAATAAGGTAAGAGTGTAGGTGAGAGATGACCATTTTCTTCAAGTATTAAAGGCTTATCGTGTGGAAAAAAAGTTATACTTGTTTTAGGACCAAGGAGGTATACTGAGAACAGAAGGGAAGGAATTAGGAGAGAGAGATTTAAAATCAGAATACAAAATAACCTTCTAACAGAAAACTCCCTCAAAGTTTATACAGATACTTGGTAATGTACTATGCGAAGATTTCAAACTACAGTTAAGCGGTTCAACCTCAGTAGCTTTAAAGTCTGTTTCAACTTGGAATGACAATGACTTTAATATTTTATCATTTTTTTCATTTCCTTAACAGTTATAATATTATGATCATTATTTTTAATGGAAGATGATTGAAAGTGAAAACCTAAACCAAGAAGAAATAATTAAAGAACTGGTGAGTCAAAGTTAAATTTCTTTTTAACAACATTTTCAATAATATATAATGGAAAGTTTTTATGCTCCTTTCTAGAGCTGGAAGGATTACTTAGTGATTTCTTCTATCCAGTGACTTTTGGAAGCAGAGAATAATCATATATGTGATATAACTCTTCTGAGATTACAAAAATGGCATCAGCACAATTGACAATGTATAATTTCTAATAGTAAAAGTCATTTTTAAATTATTTAAAATAGGTAATGACCAAATTTCTTTTTTTAAAAACAGTGTTTGTGCAATGGCTTATCTTATGAGATGGTTCGACAAGAAGGATCAGATACATCAAAGTTGGAAATGTTTTTCTCAGGGTATCCACATATAGTCGGACTATCATTATTTCCTAATTTAACAAGTCTTACAATTGTTGCTCAAGATATAAAAGAAATTTCTGGATTAGAGACTTGTTTACAACTTAAAGAACTTTGGATTGCTGAGTGCTGCATAGAGGTAAGTGTAAACATAAAACCTTACATGGAATATTTTATTCTAAATTCTTTGGCTTTAGAAAAATAATTCATTGAAATATATGCATAAGGCATGGGTTAAGACAGATAAATGAGCAAAGGATAGAAACTGATTTGTACAAAGGAAAAAGTAAAAATAGAGAATTAAAACGTAAACATATTCTTCTTTTTAGTAATCAAAGCAAATCAAATCAAAACAGCATGTTACTGGTATAAAACAGACACATAGACCAATGGAACAGAATAAAGAACCCAGAAATAAGGCCACACACCTACACCTATCTGATCTTCAACAAAGCTGACAAAAACAAGCAATGGTGAAAGGACCTTCTATTCAATATGTGGTATGGAGATAACTGGATAGCCATATGCAAAAGATTGAAACTGTACCTCTTCCTTATACCATATACAAAATTAAACTCAAGATGGAGTAAGGACTTAAATGTAAAACCCAATGTAAAAACCCTGGAACACGACCTAGGCAATATCATTCTGGAAATACATGTGGCTAACAAACATAAGAAAAAAAGTTTAAAATGACTGATCGTTAGAGAAATGCAAATCAATGAGGTACCGTCTCACACTAGTGAGAATGGCTATTATTAAAAGGTCAAAAAAAAACAGATGCTGGCAAGATTGTGGAGAAAAAGGAATGCTTATACAGTGTTAGTAGAAACGTAAATTAGTTCAACCATTGTAGAAAACAGTGTGATGATTCCTCAAAGACCTAAAAACAGAAATACCACTCAACCCAGCAATTCCATACTGGGTATATACCTAAAGGAATATAAATCATTCTATTATAAAGACACATGGATGTGTTTGTTCATTACAGCAGTGTTAACTAGCAAAAACATGGAATCAACCTAAATGCCCATCAGTGGTAGACTGGATAAAGAAACTGTGGTACATATATACCATGGAATACTGTGTAGCCATAAAAAAGAACAAGATAATGTGCTTTGCAGGAACATGGATGGAGCTGGAGGCCAGTGACCTTAGCAAACTAACACAGGAACAGAAAACCAAATACCACATGTTCTCACTTAGAAGTGGGAGCTAAATGATGAGAACACATTAACACATAGAGGGGAACAACAGACTCTGGGGCCTACCAAAAGGTGGAGGGTGGGAGAAGGATCAAGAAAAATAACTAATGGGTACTCTGCTTAATACCTGAGTGACAAAATAGTCTGTATAACAAACCCCCATGACATATGTTTACCTAAATAACAAACCTGTATATGTATCCCTGAACTTAAAACTTCAATAAATAAATAAATTGATGTGTGCAAAGGAAAAAAACAGAAATAAGGAATTAAAACATAAACATATTCTACTTTTTAGTAATCAAATCAAATCATAGCCAATATTACTTAGTAATAAAATTGGTCCACTGAGACACCATTGGTTGTGTTGAAATTATAACATCTATTTTGAAAAGAAATACTGAAAAACATAAGAGCCATCATAGAAATGTACAGTGCATAAGTCTTGACTTAAAAGGCCCTACTCTAAGATTTTATCCTAGAAAAGTAACTCAGCAGCAGGAAACAACCATACCCATGAAACTACTTGTTGCAGCATTATTTATAACTAAAAATTTGAAACATAAATGTGCCACACATCAGGTAATTTTTCAGAAAATTATAACCTTAATGAAATATTTCATAATTATTAAATGTTATAATTTGAAGGATTATGAAAGCATTGTAGTTTTAATTTAAAAAGAGTCCCACAAAATTGTATGTGCATTAAGATTATAATGTGCTTACATGGTTATAATCATAACCATATAATCATTTCTATATGGTTATTATCATAAACATATAGAAATATATGATCATATGTGATATATACATGATTATAATCATAACCATATAGAAATAGATGTAGAGTTGATTAGAATTTAAAAGAACGTGCAAAATTGAAAATAGTTGTATTTAAATGGAAAACATGGAATATATTTTTTTCTTTTAAAACAGTTCATTTTGCTGGATATCGATTTTGCAATAAAATGTGATATTTAAAAGAAAATATACTTAGAAGTCTACTTAATTGGAAGGATTAATAACAAATCATAAGCTAACACTGTTCAGTCTCCTTTTCTTTTACAGAAAATTGAAGGTCTTCAAGAATGTAGAAATTTGGAGAAACTATATTTATATTTTAATAAAATTTCCAAAATAGAAAATTTAGAGAAATTAATCAAATTGAAGATTCTTTGGCTGAATCACAATACAATTAAAAATATTGAGGTAAGACAATAATTTCAATTATCTATAGGTAAAGCCAGTTACTATTGTGGAGTTTAAACCACATTGTTCAAGATCATATTGTGGTTAAAGGCCAAAATATTGATGACAAGTGCAATTATTGTCACAAAGAACTAACATGTGTATAGCATTTTATAATGTACAGAGGGCTTTGTATATATTACTTTCTTTACCCTCTACAAGCCTAAGCGGTAAGGCATTGTTATTCTTTCTTTGAAGATTTAAAAGAAAGAGGTTTAGAGAAGTTGCATAACTTACCTAAGATTATAAATATACTCTGTGTGACGTATTCTTTTTCCTCCTACTCCTGCTCTTTTCCTCTCCATTCCTCTCCCTGTTCCCTTCTCCAATAATTCTAAGTTCCAGTATAGAGAACAAAGGTGGCTTCTTGGAGGCAGTCATTTCCTTCTGTGCTTCTGAAGCACAAAGTACCCTGTGCCCAGAGCACCTGAGAACTAACCAGATTAATCAGAGATGATTTGTAAATGTCAATTTTAATTATTTGTTTTAAATTGTATCTTTAAATTTTTAGGGTTTGCAAACATTGAAGAATTTAAAAGATCTCAACCTTGCTGGAAATCTAATAAACAGCATTGGTATGTACTATTTCATTTGGAATCTGAGATAATGCTGTAATAATTTTTTATCAATATAAAAAGTACATGCTTAGATTTTTTTCTTATAGGCTTTTTTCTATGATATCTTTGCAAAGCATTTTTAAACCTGTAAAAATGTTACTCATTAATTAGTGGTTACTAATTATACAGTGGTACCACTAGTCTATTTATATGCAAGAAATGATGGCTGCATACAACTCAGAAATATGACAGAATATGAACAGAGGTAAAATAATTATTTTTTTTTTCATCTTATCTTTTAAAGGTCGATGTCTTGACCCCAATGAACAATTGGAAAGATTAAACCTTTCTGGTAACCAAATATGTTGTTTCAAGGTATGTTTAAGTGGAATAATTACTTTTTATTTATCATCCTGGATGATGAACCATTGTGTTGCAGAAACTATACTAAAACGTCTCCTATTAAGGAATAAGTTTATTATTTTGGGCTGATACTCCAGAAAATTTGAAAGTCATCTGACTACACTGGCCTTAATGATCTGACACTATTAAAACCAAACAAATAACTATTTATCTGGATCTTAGGATACCATTTTCTCTTAGTTTTTTGTTTTTTGTTTTTGTTTTTTTTTTTATCTTTCTGCCTACATCTCTTCAGTTACTGTTCTTTCATCCTCTCCTAGCATCTAGGATATGGTCTGCCCTTAGTCAATACTGAGATCTTTTCTCATCTCTGTCTGCATTCATTCTCTAAATAATCTTATCATGCCTTAAGACTTTAAATGCCCTTTATCTACTGATTACTCTAAACTAGTACCTTTACTTTCCTTGACAACTCTCCAAAACTGCAGACATGTCTTAACACAAACTAATTTTCCCTCTAGCAGACCTTCTCCTGTGGTCTTCCTCATCTCCCTAAATGGAGTCTCCATTCTTCCAGTAACTTAAGCCAAAATCCTTATAGTCATTTGTGTCTCTTCTTATTCCTTCATACCCTCATCCAACCCATTAACAAATACTGTTGCTTCCACCTTAAGAATATGTCCAGAGTCTGATCACTTCTTACCACCTGCATCACTACCAAGCTGATTCAAGACACTATCATCTCTAACCTGCATTAATGAAAAAAAAGCTTCCTGAAAGTTTTTCCTGTGTTTGTCCTTTCCCTACTATAAATTTGATCTCCACACAGAAGCTTGATGGAGCCTTTAAAAATTTGTCAGATTAAAAATCACTCTTCTGCTTAAAACCCTCCCTTGGCTTCTTATCTGTTTCAGAGTAAAAGACGTTTTTATAATGGGCCATGAGACTACCCAGTCTAGCCCCGACCACCCACCTACCTGTCTCTTTGACGGCAGTTTCTACCACTCCTTTGTTTGTGCAATTTAGCCACACTTGTCTGAATATACCTAGCACACTCATCCTAAGGCGCTTGTACTTGCTGGAATATTCTTTCCTCATATACCTCCATGGCTCATTTCCTCATTTATTTCAGGTCTTTGTCAAAATGTTATGTTCTAAGTGACACCTTTCCTTCTCAATTTAGGTGTAATAGGAAAACCCTCAAAACCCTCCCCAACCTGCAGCACTCCCTATCACACTGCTGCTGTTTTATTTTTCCTCTTAGCACATCCCTTACTAGAATACAAGCTCTCTGAGTACGGGAACTTTGCCTGTTCTCTTCACTGCTATATCCACAATCCTTAAAACAGTGTTGGACATGTAGTAAATCTCAATAAACTGTCAAGAACATGAATGAAAGAGAAACAACCAAATAAAGGGACTTAATGTTTATCACATAAATGTTGGTTAAAATGTGACATTTATAATTTTGACAGTGTAAGATTGAAGGTTCATATTCAAACACATCATCTAGAAAATATTGAAGAAAGATAGGTAAATTTACTATAGAAATAATTTCGAGTTCATCAGTATTAAAGTAGGCATTATTTTACTCAGGCAAAAATATAAAAAGACCAAAAAGCTATGGAATGAGGCAGATTAAGTCCCTTAAAAAGAAATGTAAACAAAATTATATTAGTCAAATTCAAGAGGAAATATTTGATAAGAACTTTGAAGTATCAACGGAATTTGAACAAGCATTGTGGAAGGATTTTCTGGGTAGTAGAGAGCAGGCATTCTAAGAAGGGGAAGACAATATGTATGAAGGCATGGAAGTAAGAAATCAAGGAGTATATTTGAATAACATCAGCATTGTCATTTGACTGGAATATAGAGTATATATAGCAATATTGGAAGTTAACCTTAAAAAGGTCAATTGGGTCTCAAATATGGACTGTATTTTATAGACAACAGAGAGCTGTAAAATTTTTTAGCAAGAAAGTGATATGATAAGAAATATCCTTTAGGGATAGTGATCTGTAGTTAGTGTTTATTGACTTGGAGCAGCTAGAAGAAGAAAACTCAGTCAGGAGGTTACAGGAATAATCTAAATGAGATATTAGGAGAACATGAAGTGGAGTGTTAACAGAAAAAAGAAAAGAAGAAAGAAGAGAAGAAGGAGGAAGAGGAGCAGGAGGAAAGATAAAGAAGAAATAGATGTAAGAGACATTATGGTTGTTGAATTTGCAGAATTTTAATGTGAGGAGCTAGAGAGTCCAAAATGAATCGGTGATTACAGTTCTTAAAAAGCTAAAAAAATATACACATTAGAAAAAAAATGGCTATTTTGGTGTAGGTGAGGGGAAGATAATGTGTCTGGTTCTGGATATGTTGAGTTTAGAGTACGAGTGGAGCCATCCAGGTAAAGAACTGCACATGCAACACTGAGAAATGGGGAAAGAGTAGTCATACTTATAATCTTGGCATAACAAGCAAGAGTGTGAAGTGATGCTTAGGGCCATGGCAAATTATCTCTCCCAACATTGAGACCATCAGATAAGGGATCAGATTAAACATGTGGAAAGTAGAAATAAGCCATGATAGAAACCAGAGACACTCAGAGGGTGGTAACAGTTGTGACAGGCACAGGCAGTAAGATAGATCGATAAGGTGTGTGCGTGTGTGTGTGTGTGTGTGTGTGTGTGTGTGTGTGTACGCGCGCGCGCATGCGCGCACTTACTAATGCACGTGAACGCATGTGTATCTTTCCCCTTCTAGTTCTGCTAGCTTAAGATACTACACTAAATCTTTAAATCATACTTACTATATGGAAATCCTAAATTTCAGTCTGGTAAATATATTGTAAAATTAAGATAAACAAACAAAAAACCTGTGAAATTATTCTTACTATTAAGAAAGCTCTTTTAAATCAATTAGAAATAAATAACCTAAGTCACCCAGTAAAAGAAAGGATAAGTAAGCAGGTAATTTATAGAATTGAACTCCACATGACATAAAAAAATTTTCAATCCTACTAAAAATGAGTAAAATGAAAAATAAAACATGATATAAGGCCAGGCAGGGTGGCTTATGCCTGTAATTCCAGCACTTTCGGAGGCTGAGGTAGGTGCATCACTTTAGGTCAGGAGCTCAAGACCAGCCTAGCTGACATGGTGAAATCCCGTTTCTACTAAAAATCCAAAAAAATTAGCCAGGCATGGTGGCTGGCATCTGTAGTCCCAGCTACTCAGGAGGCTGAAGCAAGAGAATCACTTGAACCTGAAAGGCAGAGATTGCAGTGAGCTGGGATTGTGTAATTGCACTCCAGCCTGGGTGACAGAGTGAGACTCTGTCTCAAAAAAATAATAAATAAAAATTTAGAAATCTATAATTGTAATTGATATTTGATATAGTCAATATTTTATAAACATGATACTCTGTGCTAGAAATACTAGGATTACATGGGCATTATATGACATTGGTAGTCATTTAAGGTGATACAACTTTCCTAGAAAGCGTTTAGATAATATGTACCAGGTCCTTTAAAAGGGCTTCTATTCTTTAGCCTATGAATTCCCCTTCTAGGAATCTATTCCAAGAAAATAATGTGAAATGTGGACGAAGCTTTATGCTTAAAATAGGTTAAGATTGCAGAAGAGATCAGAGAGAGCTATGAACGTTAAATTCAGAGTGCTGTGGGAACATATAAAAGGGCGACCTAGCCTTGTTTGGGATGTCAGGTCAAGACACACTTGAGAAGCTAGCATTGCAGCTAATGATATCAGACGTGAGAAGGAGTTGCCCAGGCAAAGACCCTTCCAGGCAAAAGTTAGATCACACGTGAAGGCTCAAGGTGGTTGAAAAGGGTATGGCAGATTCTAGGAACTAGAAATCCTGTATGACTGGAACAGAGTAAGGGAAGCAATTATGACATAAGGCTAAAGAAGGTAAGTGCAGGATTCTGTGAAAACAAGGGATTGCCCTGCTAAGAAACCATATAGAAATTTATATTACCATGGCCAGCCACTGTACCCTATGGTGGTTATAAGCCTGGCTGCAAGAAAGATCTCTCAGGTCTAGCCCTGTCTCATACCAGAGGTAACATAATACAGTGGAATATGAAGTTTAGGTGAAATAACAAAGATAACAAAGTTAAGCACGTAAATAATGACTAGCACATTGTAAGGACTCAACACCTCCATTGTTTTTATTATTTTATTACCATTACTTTAATTACATTGACCTGCTGTATTTCAGTATCTTCATTTAAAAATGATGATAACAGGATTATTGTAAAAATTCATTGTGTGGCATAATATTTAAAAAGGCTTTTTATGGCATTATGGCTATCATAAAAACATTGAACGTGATTCACAGGAATTTTTACTATCTTCATCTTAGAAATGTTTCTGAAACACTATTATCTTAGATTTTTATCTCTAACATTTCCTCCCACCCTAAAAAGATAACTATCCTATCCTGGTGGTGATTAAATAAATTCTGTGCCCACCTTCCAACCATACCAGGTACCAGAGCACTAATTTTCAGTGAGATTTTGTGCCTTCATGGACTCCAGTGTCATCTGAATTTGGAATGTAGTTGGGGGATTTCTGTGTAGGACTTCAGAGTTTATACCCACCATCTACTAGCTCAGACTACTGGTCAAGTGAAACATAGCAACTCAGTAATCAAAGGCTGCCAAATATTTTACCTTCTTTGCCCCTGCAAAATTTGACCAAATAATTCTCTGCACAGCTCTATTCATATATCTTCCTTTTAGAGCAACTGTGCTTAGTCTTCCTCCCTGCATAGGCTCAGCGCAAGCCTCAGGTCAAACCAGTGAGCCACATTCTCACTTGTCCAGAAAGAGTTTGGAAATATATTAACCACCTCACCCTGTATTACTCTTGCTTCCAGCAACCTGACTTCACTATTCTCTTTTCTATTCCATTTTTACTGTAGTTTTAGAACTAATGCTTCCTGGTTCTTCCTTTGGATTTCCCTTAACTCTGATTCTGATTTTTCTAGTTAGCATTGCATCCTTTCAAGTTTGACCCCACCGCAGTACCCTCCTACCTCAGGCACCATCCTGAGGTAGGTGTAAGGGAGGTATAATGAGGAAGGTATAAGGATATCCTCAAAGTTGGTTGAAAGTAATAATTAATTTACTTAACATGTTTATTTAGTGCCTGCTGTGTTCTAAATGCTGATTGTTAGGAATACAATGTTAAGACACAAACTGTGTTCTCCACAAGTTTATCTCAAAGTTGGCAAATGTTTTCTGTAATAACAGCCAAATAGAAAATATTTCAGGCTTTGTGGGCCACATATGGCCTCCAATGCATATTCCTCTTTTTTTCAATACTTAAAAAATGTAAATAACATTGTTTGTAGACTGAGGGCTAAAGCCCATATAGACCCTTGGCTTATAGATACAAGCAATAGGGTATCTTGTATAGATACAAAATACAAGCAATAGGGTATTAGATAATAGATACAAGCAATAGGGTATGGCAATTGGGTATGATAAAGTCCATACCAAAACTAAGCTCAGTGGCTAAAAGAGCTCATAGGAGGATAATCTGTCCCAACATTGGGGGATGAAACAAGGTTCCCAGGGAATATGATGCTTAGGTTGGGCCCTGACAGATTAAAAGGTGAATTGAGGTAAAGGTCAGACCACTCAAAAGGAGCAGCATAAGTAAAGGTCTAAGGGCAACATAGGGCTTGGCACATTCCTAAACTTCAATTGGTTTAATATGGCTAAATCATAAAATATTAGGGTTTAAACAGGAAGAGGCAAGACTGAACAGTTAATCAAGAGCCAGATGACAAATAAAGGAAAGTACAAATACCTGTAATGACATAAACATCAAGAAAAAATATGTTAAGGAGAAACATTGGTCTGAGAGTGCATAGCAATCCCTCCTCATCATAGGTTGTGAGAAAACTCACTCTCAAGAGAAAGTTAAGCTTTAGTTGACCGTGATAGGTAAAACAGGAATTTATAGAAAAAAAAATCAACAAAAAAACCCAAAATCAGAAATTCCATGGTGATTGTTTGTAATGAACGGGGGTGGGGGTCCCATAGCCTTTGATGAGTAGAGCAGATCTGGAGGCAGGGAGGATGAAGAGCAATGTTTCTAGGTGATAAGTACAGGAAATAGGGGTGAAGAAAGCAGAGACCTACAGGTATCCTGGGGGCAACTAGCAAGAGGGGCTGTGTAGGGGAAGCAACATATTAATTAATAAATGTGCACATGTCACCGGCTTCAAGATTCTGGCCGAAATACATGATTTAGTAAATATTTAAAAGCCATAGTGGTATAGCATGCTGTTTAATTATTTCATCTTTTCTCCAGGAATTTACCTTATTTTTCACTTGTGAGAAACATTTTAGGCATCTAAATCACTTTATTTAAGCAGATAATTAGAGTGCATTAGACTATGGCTGATCTTAGGTGTTCAAATACTGCATTTAGAAATGACAGTCACAATTAATTGAACATTATCTTTGCTGGTGTTTTAGGAGCTCACGAACTTAACCAGGCTACCTTGCTTAAAGGATTTATGTCTGAATGACCCTCAATATAAAACCAATCCAGTTTGTCTTCTGTGTAATTATTCCACACATATATTATATCATTTGCCTTGCCTTCAAAGATTTGACACGTTGGATGTGTCAGCAAAGCAAATCAAGGAACTGGCAGATGTAAGTACATCCCCAATCAGGTATCTGTGATTTCAGTTTTATTATAATGGCTTCTTTCCGGCTGTTTACACATATGGTAGGTAGGATTATCAGGTCAGTTCTTGTTGCCAATTCTACTTTTGCCCTAGTGAACTGGATGTTACACATAAAAGTACAAAAATAATAATATCAATACTAGAATTTTAATTTTGATGATGGTACTGGAAGGTGAAATAATAGAATATTATTTCTAATTTATACAAAACAAGAAGGAAATTGAAAAAAATCAGTGTTAATAATTAGACTAGTGCCATATATGTATGTATGTATATATATATATATATATATGCCTAAATAACAGAAATGTAACAATCACTTCTCCTTTGGAATATTACATATCAAAATTAGAAAATATCTATGGTTTATGGTAGTCTACCAAGGATTAGGTAAATTTTAATCTAATTAAACATAGTTTGTGATTCTCTGAAAGGTTAAGTAGCTGAGGATATCAGGGGACGAGAAGTAGCAGATGACAGGAGTTGTGGAGGCCAGATTATGTGAGACTGTAGACTGTTGTAAGGACTTTGGCCTTTACTTTGAGTGAGATGGGGTCCACTGGAAAATTCTGAGCAGAGGGGCAACTAAGATGACTTATGTTTTAAAGGGATCCTTTTGAATAATAGATTAAGAATGGAGAGCTAGAGGGGTAAAGGTGAAAGCAGAGAGACCAGTTAGGAGATTATTCCAGTCACTCAGATGAGCAATGTGGATGGTTCAATTCATGGTGTTCACAAAAAATGTGGTAGGAAGTCAGATTCTAGTAGCAGTTAAAAGATGGAGACTATCTGGGTTTACTGGTGGATTGGATATTAAGTACAGAGGAAAGAAGTAGAGAATAATTCCAAGATATTAGTTGGAGCAATTCAAAGAGAGAGTTGCTATTTGGCAACATTAGGAAGAGTATGGGAGGAATAGGTTTAGGAGGAAGAATCATGATTTAATTTTAGGCATTTAATGTTTGAACAATTTTTTGAATATCCAAGAGGACATATTCAATAAGTAGTTGGATGTATGAGTCTACTGTGTAGGAGAGTTTCCCAGATAATTAAAATATGAAAACTGAAAGCAGAAAGTTGGTACTTAAAGCTGTGGACTGGATGAGTCAACAAGGAATGGTGTGGAAGAGAAAGTGTGCCACTTGAGTGTTAAATGTTAGGTAGATGAAAAGGAACCTGCAGAGAGACTGAAAAGGAGAACTAAGAGAGGCAAGCTCTTCTAAAATTTTGACTGAGATTCTCAAACATTTGGTTCAGTCTTATAAATGTCAGGAGTGGCATAAGGAACAAAATAAGAAATTGTTAGTGCCTAACATCTTAAATTAAGTAATTATTTTCATTTCGTATTGTAAAATATTTATCCTTCCTTTATCTTTTAAGGCACAAATAGGATATATACTATAGTTCAACTTCTGATTCAGACCAAAATGATTTTCAGATTCAAAGTATTTTTAATTTATAGATTGATATAGTTTTCTAAAATGCTTTCTTCCTTACTATGCATAAGAAGATAAGTTGTGGCAGTTCTTTGTGATGAACTCTTGAACAGAGTATTATTGATTCTTCAGATTTTCACCTATGACTGTGAACTAGTTTGTGTAAATTACAAGTGGCAGATAAAGTCAGAACTTACCAGGAGGACCACCAAAGAGTCAGTGTGAGCAAGAGGGAAGAACATATGGGTTCAAATCAGAAGACTTGGATTCAAGCCCCCAACTGCATGTGCTACTCCTGAAGCTCAGTTTTCTGAACTGAAACAAAGATGATGAAAATAGTATCTGCCTTTCAGCACAGGGTTGTTTTGGGGGAACCAATGAGTTAATGTACATAAAAGCCCACTTTAATTTTTAAGTAGCATAAAAATAAGTGCTATGAAACTATAGTTGAATGTATTTCTGTTTATGACTTTGAATTCTTTTTTGGCCACCTAAGATGCAAAGGGATCAAATTTTGTCAGTACAAACATGCAACTGAATTTAGCATTATAATTAGTCTAACTTCTTTCTTTAAAAAGTTTGTTTTAACAGCTGGACAATTTTAACAAAGTCCTTGAAAGTGACTTTGACATTAATTTTTTAAAGTCCAAATTCAAAAAGCAAGTTGCATGTGGTCAGCCTACAAAGTTGATTTGCTATATAGTTACAGTTTATAAAATAGTCTTCCCTCCTTCCCCAAAATCTTACTATGTACTCTCAAACAAGGACAAAAAACAAACAAAAAAAAACCCCTTATTGATAACACTTGTTTATTGTTATGACATACTAAGTGATTTTGAAAAACTTTAGAAATAGTAAAATATCACAATTTGTGTTTCTATATGAAGATACAGGTACATTCCTAATAAATTAGAAAAAGTTGAAACTATGGTAAGATATACTACACACAAATCTGGTTTGATGGGAAACATAAGTAGGAAGTACACTTTTCATTTTATAAATCAAATTTTTTGGTTTTTGAAATGTGAATATATTGCTTATTCAAAAAAATTAAAATAAGACTAGTATGTTTTAATCTTTGTTTTATCCCCACCTAGGGGGACTCCAAGTTAAATTTAAATTTTAGATAAACAACAAAAAATGTTTTGGTATAATTAAATAAGTATAAGTAAGTTTACTAAGTATTATACGTATTAAAATATTATCCGTTGCTTATCTGAAATTCAAATTTAATTTGGCATCCTACATTTTATCCTATATTTTATCCCATGTTCTCTTGTGTTTTTTCCCTTTTATTTACAATTGATGCATAATAATTCTATGTATTCTATAGGATACACTGGTATTCTGATACAGATTTACAATGTATAATGATAGAATAAGGGTAATTAGCATATTCATCTCCTCAAACATTTATTTTTCCTGTTGTGAACATTCAAAATCCTCTCTTCCCGATTTTTGAAAATATACACATTATAGTTAACCATATTCATCCTGCAGTGCTACAGAATTCCAGAACTTATTCTTCCTATCTAGCTTTAATTTTCTGCCGTTAACCAACCTTTCTCCCCATTCTTTCCTTCCCACTATCTTTCCTACAGCCTCCAATATCTACAATTCTACTCTCTACTTCCATGACCTCAAAATTTTTTTTAGTTTTCACACAAATGATAACATGCAATCTTTATTTTTCTGTGCCTGACTTATTTCGCTTAACATAATGTCCTCCAGACTCAACCATGTTGCCACAAATGACAGGATTTCATTCTTTTTTATGGTTCAATAGTATTCCATCATGTGTGTGTGTGTGTGTGTGTGTGTGCACGCATGTGTGTGGAGGTGTATGTAATGTGATATATATATATATATATATATATATATATATATATCACATTTTCTTTATCCATTCGCCTGTTGATGGCACTTAGGTTAATTCTAAATCTTAGCTGTTGTGAATAGTGCTGCAGTAAACATGGGGGTGCAGGTATCCCTTTGATACACTGATTTCCTTTGTTTTAGGTAAATATCCGGTAGTGAGATTGTTGAATCCTATGGAAGTTCTATTTTTAGTTTTTTGAGAAAACTCCATCCTGTTTTTCAAAATGGCAGCATATGAGAGTTCCTTTTTCTGGGCCAGGAGGGTGGATCACTTGAGGTCAGCAGTTTGAGACCAGTCTGGCCAACATGGTGAAACCCCGTCTCTACTAAAAATACAATGAAAATTTGCCGGTGTGGTTGCAGGTGCTTGTAATCCCAGCTACTTGGGAGGTTGAGACAGGAAAATTGCTTGAACCCAGGTGGTGGAGGTTGCAGTGAGCCAATATCGTGCCACTGCGCTCCAGCCTGGACGACAGACTTGTCAAAAAAAAAAAAAAAAAAAAAGTTCCATTTGCTCTGCATTCTCACCAGCATCTCTCTCTGTTTTGTTTTGTTTTGTTTTGTTTTCTGTCTTTTTGATAATAGCCATTCTAACTGGGTGAGATTATATTGTGATTTTTATTTGCATTTCCATGATGGTAAGTTAGTGATGTTGACTATTTTTTCATTTACCTATTGGCCATTTGTATGTTATCTTTTGAGAAATGTCTGTGCAGTTCCTTTGCCCACCTTTTGGTTGGATTATTTGTGTGTCTGTGTGTGTGTGTTTCGTTTTTTTTGTTGTTGTTTTGTTTTTGTTTTTCTCTGTTGAGTTGTTTGAGTTCCTTGTTATTCTGGATATGAGACCCTTATTGGATCAATCATTTGCAAATATTTTCTCCCTTCCATAGGTTGTCTCTTCATTCTGTTGATTGTTTCCTTTGGCTGTGCAGAAGCTTTTCAGTTTAATATAGTCCCATTTGTCTGTTTTTGTTTTTGTTGTTCATGCTTTAGAAGTGTTAGCCATAAAATCTTTGCTTAGATCAATGTCCTAAAGCATTTTCTCTCTTTCCTTCTAGTAGTTCCATGGTTTCAAGTTTTACATTTAAGTCCACCTTTTGAGTTAATTTTTGTATATGTTGAGAGATAGGGTCTAATTCCATTCTTCGGTATGGGGATATCCTATTGTTTTAGATTTAAGAATTTATTAGAAATTTTTTTCAGCTGTCACTGACCCACAGAATTTTGTATAGAATTTTCTATTGTCTCCAAATAGTAAAAAAAAAAAAAGAAAAAAAATCAAGAAACACAATTTCCCATTTCTTAGGAGTTGTTCTTTTAACTCAGTTGCACATCAGAAATTAAGCTCTTCTTCATCAGAGATATTTAATCAGTTTATCATGATCCTAAAATAAATTTTTTCTTAACTGTTCTTTGTTATGATTGTCTTATTTTTAGCAGAGAATTTAGTGATTTCAGTTGCAGTACTTCATAATATGCATGAGGAAAGAGAATTCTTTTGGCCTTTCATCATACTATGTATTTGTTTCTATTCTGTCTTTTATGCCAGATAATTATATTAGGATCTTGATTATCCGCTCTGTACTAAGTAAATTTCATAAGAAAAGACTGCAGCTGTAGAAAATATATGTCTAAAACTGTAAAAGCCTTCCAACTTATTTGCTTTCATTATTTCAGGTAAACAATTAAAATCATGTCCCATTTTTTATAATGCCTCTAATTTGTTTATGGTCTCCTCAGGTAGTCCTTTTTAAGTAATATAACTCTCAAGCTCCATTTAGCTGGTGCGTTTCTTAATTATGTATTTAATCAATTTATCATGATAAATTTATTGTTATAAATAAATTTTATAGCAATAAATTGTTATTTATTGACCCATTGTTATTAAGGAACTCAAGATAAATGGATTTGATAGACATTTAGTAATTTCCTTAACCTAATGAACATTCTTTTATAAATTTGAAAAAAAATAAATTCTGTTCCTTAGCCATGCTTTTTTTTTTTTTTTTTTTT